CTTTTTTTTTTTTTTTTTTTTTTTTTTTATTGAAATTGGCCACGGGTTTGGGTTTCTAGAGAAGGGGAAAATTGGGTAAAGGAATTTTGTAAGGCAAGTGGGCAATACTATGGGCTATTATCAAAATGGTTTCCTGTATTCAAAATGTTCAACTGACAAGCTCCCAGAATTTTTGCTTAATTTTTCAAATATTATTTAAATAAAGTCCCTTTATTTTATTATTATTATTTTTTTGGTGCCAATACAGTGGACCCGTCTCACAGGACTTCTGTTTTATTTTTATTTATTATAAAAGAATTTTTTGATGAAATTATTTTAATTAGTGTTTGAAAATTAATTTTTAAACAAACTTCTCTTTTTTAAGAGTATTTAGAGGAACCGAGGAAGTCATATTAAATTAATTTATTCTAACACCTCTAACAACTAAAAGAAACTTTCATTTATGAAGTTAACAAATGAATACGAAACAATTTTAAGACCTCCTTTTATTGCTCAAAATTCATGGCAAATAGGCCATGTCTACTTGACAAAAGTGCGTTGATTATTGTGTGGCGAATTTTTAAGTATTTGTTGATCTTTTTACTCAAACTAATGTGGTGACCTAGCTAGTCTTTATATATATATATATATGTGTGTGTGTGCGCGCGCGCGCGCGCGCGCGCTCATCAAATCTATTTAGGGTCTGTTTGAGAGCGATTTTTCCTCCCAAAAAATTAATTTTTTGATCGTTATCTCACTATTTCAATCGTCATATTTAACTTATTCTTTCACAGATGGACCCCACTTTTTTTTAACAATTAAAAAATCAATTCTCAAAATCACTCCCAAGCAGACTCTTAATTGGCTGGTGCATTTGTAGATCTACATAATAATGACTTATAATATTACATATACGATCATTCTTTACTTTGAATTACATAATAGTACATAAAATACTCAACTTAAAATATTGAAAAGTAAAAACACAAAATTACTTGCTATTTAGAGAAATTCATACCTATTCGTTGAATTTCTTGTATACTTGAATTAGTTAGGATTGAAAATTTTTACAAATAGATCTCAAACGCGTTGAAAAAAAAATTTCTTTCCTTCTTTTCCTTTTTCTCTCTTCGTTTTTTCCCCCCCCTCTCTTCTCCTCTCCCTCTTCTCCTCTCTCTCCCCCTTTGTTTTTTTTGTAAGTTGGCATCAATTGAGTGCATATATATGCTAATTAAAAAGTTGTAATAATGGTAATGATCTACATAGTATTTTAATAGGAGTCTTAATTAGAATTTGAATTGAACTCTCAACAAACAATCTTATCAAAGAAAATTCTAACTATATTAAGACAAGACTCTAGTATAAATATGTTAAAATTCTAAACTTATCTAAACAACTTTATATCCAATAATCTGATAATAATTCAATATATATCCAAATATTAAATTCTAATTTAGTTAAAATTCTTATTTTTAATCATTAGGATTATTAGCACAAAATCCCTATAAAATGGTAAAGTTGCTAATTATCCTAATATTAGGATTTCGCCAATGAACTTTTACCAATGGAATTTCTCTATTTCGAAGTGTTTGAATCTTCCTATCCAAGATGACTATTGGAGCTTCCTCGTACGTTAGATCTGGATGAATGTCTAACGATTGAAGATTAATCACATGGCCAGGATTTGATACGTATTTTCGAAGCACAGAAACATAAAAGACATTGTGTACTACTGAAAGTTTGGGAGGCAATGCTAGCTCGTAAACCATAGTTCCCATACATTTTAAAATCTCAAAGGATCCTATGTATCTTAGTTAGAGCTTTACCCTTTTTCCAAATCGAGTAATTCCCTTTATAGGATCTATTTTTAGGAAAATCTTGTCACTAACCTCAAATTCAAGATCCTTCCTCTTATTATCTACATAACTTTTTAGTCGATCTTGGATAGTCTTTATTCTAGCCCGAATCTTCTCAATAGCTTGGATTATTCGCTCATTAGTCTCAAGCCTTAGAATTCTTCGCTCGCCAACTTTATCCCAATGAGTTGGAGATGTACACCTCCTACCATACAAAGTCTCATAAGGGGCTATTTCTATGGTAGTCTGATAGCTATTACAGGCTAATTCTACC